TTTCTTTTTTTGATCTTTTTCAGACAGGGCTTCACTATATAGTTCAGACTGGTCTTGAGCTCACTGTATATATTATATAGTGCAGGCTGGCATGGAACTCACAGTGATCCTCCTGTCTCGGATCCACAGTGCTGAGATCATAGGTGTGCTCCACCATGCCTGGCCAGATTACTTTTTATGTTCTTTAAAAGACTTTCTCAAATTGGGACCTTGCACTTGACAGTTAGGTGCTTATGCTACTGAGCTGTATCCCTGGTCTTTTTAAAAAGACTTTTACTGCTGGTCCAGAAAGTTTATTGGTGAAATTTGGATTTTTCCCCCCACTCTGGAACCATTATGTGTTTCTTAGTGTCCTATAGAATATTTGTATTTTATCATGGTTATTTTCAGATACATTTGGTGAATTTTTTCATCATGAAAATTAGATAATTAGAGTTTACGCATAGATAACTTTAAGATGTCAGATGAAAACTCCCTTAGAAAAGCCCTTCACGTTTGAACATTAGCCAGATGCATATCTTATTTCTAATCATGCTAATAGAGTAATTTTATTTTGCCCTTTTTATAGACTAGCAAAGAAGATAAGTTATCAAGTCGTATTCAGAGTATGCTTGGAAATTACGAAGAAATGAAAGATTTCATAGGAGACAGAGCTATACCAAAGCTTGTTGCAATTCCCAAGTCTGCAATACCAACAACAGATGATGAAAAATCAAAGCCAAATTTCTTTGAACAGAGACATGGAAGCTCTCATCAGAGTAGCAAATGGACCCCTGTAGGACCTGCACCAGGCACTTCTCAGTCTCAGAAGCGATCCTCAGGCTTACAGAGTGGACATAGTAGCCAGAGGACCAGTGGAAGTAGTAGCAGTAGCACTAGCAGCACCGGCCAGAGGCATGATCGTGACTCATATGGCAGCAGCCGGAAAAAAGGCCAGCACGGATCAGAACACTCCAAATCACGATCTTCTAGTCCTGGAAAGCCCCAGGCTGTTTCTTCATTAAGCTCAAGTCATTCCAGATCTCATGGGAATGATCACCATGGCAAGGAACATCAGCGTTCCAAATCACCTCGAGACCCTGATGCCAATTGGGACTCTCCTTCCCGTGTACCTTTTTCAAGTGGGCAACACTCAAATCAGTCTTTTCCACCTTCGTTGATATCAAAATCTAGTTCAATGTTACAGAAACCCACTGCCTATGTGCGGCCCATGGATGGACAAGAGTCCATGGAACCAAAACTAACCTCTGAGCATTACAGCAGCCAGTCTCATGGCAACAGCATGACTGAGCTGAAGCCCAGCAGCAAAGCACATCTCACTAAGTTGAAAATACCTTCCCAGCCATTGGATGTAAGTTGCATATCTAGAGCTTTTTAAACATTTTGACTATGTGAAATATTTCACCATGGAAATAAGAATTTGCATTTCATTTTTGTCTTAATAGTAAAGAATATAAAAGTTTAAAGATGGGGGCAGTTTAAAAAGACTTAACTCTCAAGTGGATTCCTAAAGCTGCGAGCTTCTGTTCTGGAAACAAAAAAGAAAATGTCATTCTTTTAATATTCAAATATTAAAATGGCAAGTCAGTTATGGAATAGAAGTAGAACTTATCAGTACCTTAGTTTTTCTCTTAAGTTTAAAAAGAAAATTCTCTGTTCTTATAGTGATCTGATGATTAAGATTTGGGCCATACTTCTTGGTAGTGATTGTTGGGATCTTTGGGCCTAGAGCAATATGTAGTTTGGATGCTATAATCCTTTTCCTAGTTATTCTAAAAACATTGAGGCAGCTGGTATAACTACATATTAAAACAATATTTAAAATAAAGGAGTAAGCAATCATTGTACTTTAGACATTTTTTTTTTAATGTACTTTGTACAATGAAAAATTCAAAAAAGAATGTTGGTAGCCAAAATCAAAGCTCATGGTTCAAAATAGTGGGGAGTAAACAGGGATATATAAAATGCTATTTAGAGAGCATTTAAGAGTCTTTCCTGTGGCCTTGGGAAACAGCATTAGTTTCATTTGTCATCTAATTGCTCCTTTCCAGAGAGTAGTAAAGCTCTTTAATTCTTTTTTTTTTTCCCTAATGTATTATGAGAATTTTATTGATTTATTTTGGCGGAACTAGGGATTGAACTCAAGCCCTTGCACTTGCCAGGCAAGTGCTTATTTTACTGCACCGTCTCTTGGGCTCCCTTAATTCTATCTATCTATCTATCTATCTATCTATCTATCTATCTATCTATCTATCTATCTATCTATTTGGTGGAACCAGGGATTGAACTCAGGCCCTTGTGCTTACCAGGCAAGCGCTAATTCTACTGAGCCATCTCCCCGGCCGTAAAGCTCTTTAATTCTTGTTAAAGAACAGAATTTAGCTCTTTAATTCTTTTCTTTTTTTTTTTTTTTTTTTTTGGGTGGAACCAGGGATTGAACTCAGGTCCTTGCGCTTGCCAAGGAAGCACTTATTCCACTGAGCCATCTCCCCGTCCCCTAGCTCTTTAATCTTTTTGTGCCTTAGAATAAGCAGTTTACTTTCTGAGACTAGAGTGTGTAAAATGTCCATCGTGTTGCAGACCAGTAACCTTTCAGTTATACTCATGTTACTGTACATGTGAAATGATATTTTACTTAGTATGATGGTAAATTTTATATATGAATAAACTTAAATTTTGGAAAAGCTGCTTTCTTGAAAAAATACATTTAAAAATTATTTAAAGTATAAGAATGATAAAGATTTTAAAACTTGAAAAATACTAGGTTTTCAAGCTGTATAGTTTGGTAATTCAAATTTATATTCAGAGAAATCAATCCAAAGAGTCTAACTAGTGTTCTGATTTAGAACAGTGGGGTTATATACTTTTAAATTCTGTATCATTTTTACTATTTTAAAATCTGTGCAGTAAATACTAAAAATTATAATAAATTGTTCCACATTTCATGTGTATTTCTTTTCTTAAGGCATCAGCTTCGGGTGATGTGAGCTGTGTGGATGAAATTCTGAAAGTAAGTGTTTTTTAAGGCTTTTCAATTTCTTGTTTAATTATGATACTCTGACCCCTTGTCATACTTCCACTTTTCACAAAGGAGCTGAAGCTACAGTTGGTTTTATGTGTACCTTGATTATGTTCATCATAAATAATTGTTCTGCTTACACTTCTGTTCTGAATTACATGATTTACTATTTGCCTTCAAAGAGTCGACTTTGTTTTTAAATAAAAATTCTAATCTTAGCAGTTTGCCATGAAAAGAGGAAGAAACCAAATATAGCTGTACTTTCTCAGGTTTAACCGTCAGTATTTTGAAGCACTAAAAACTCATTTACCATTTAAACCATTATGGTAAACTAGCTTGCTCTGTGGTTCATTTGTACATAATAGTGAAATCCTGCAGTAAAAGGACTTCTCTGAGTAATGTACATTTTGAGTATTTATTGGCTATATTTTAAATCTGGACATAATCAAAAAAGTATTCCTCTGTTGAGAAAACTTCTGTTGGAAAGTGCAGTGTTAGGGTGTCACAGTGACTATTTTTTTGCTCAGAGGAGAAAAGTCATGTATTTGTCAGTCATATATTTTTTGGCAGGGGACATAGGGAAGCTCCTGAATTTTTGTGTTTGTACTTGCATCTCATTATGGACTTTTGAGACAGCCTGTTTCAATGTTTTTTCTTTTTTTGTATTTAGTACAGGGTCTACGGGATCTAGAGGGTTTCACTACACAGATCAGACTTGTAGTGATTCTCGTATTTTCAGCCACCCAAGCGTTTGGATTACAGCCACCATGCCCAGTCTCAGTTGCTGTCTCAGCACACCCTGTGGGTGGGGGTAGTAGGGGGGCTGGGTTCAGGGCCAGCATGTGCAGGGCACACCGGTGATCACCAGTGATCGAACCCTGGCTACTGTGCTCTGCCTCAGCAGGCCCTTTAGTCTGCTGAGCTATCTGGCTGGCCTTCAGCATTTTTTCTCTCATTCATTCCTTCAGTGTACTATAATCTCCCTTCTAGCATTTTGCTTACTACTGGGGGTTTGAGTTGTTTTCCTCCTTTCCCCCTGTATTTTTTTCCCAGTACCAGGGAGCCAACCCTGGATCTCACACATATGCTAAGCAAGGCTCAAATGTGTAGTCTTCCAGCCTGCCTGTCTGAGTAGCTGGGACTTGTTTGTACTACCATGCTGGCTTGAATTCTTAAATTCTTTATGGTGTTTGCTGTGTGAGAATTTTAAAGTTTCCTTTCTGGAAACATCATTCCTCTTTTCTTGACTATTGTTGTGTTTTGTTTTTTTTTGTTTCCCATCCATTTTGCTTGCTTCTTGTTTTCTGCCTTTTTGCAAGCCTTGTGGCCTCTCTTTAAATAAAGTACAGATATATTTTCCTTGTGTCTTTTGTCTGGACTTTACCCTTTCTACCTGTTTGCCTTAATCTGTTTAAGCCTTAGTCTGTTGTCTTTTTCTCCTGCCTTGACTTCTTTGGATTTTATCTTTCTAAATTGCTTTTTAACTGGATTTCCATTTAAATTTTTGAATTTTTGTTTGCTTTCAGACTCTATATATAAATTCATACTTAGTTTCTTTATTAGTAGCACCACCATTCTCCCATGCTTGTGTAGAATTCTCATCTCTGAACTTCATCCTCTCATATTCTGTTTAATCATAAACAGATTAAACAGGTGTAGACTTTGAAATTTCATTGAATATATCTATTCCTTTCTTTGCATTTCTGCTGTCTTGAGCTTTAATAGTATGTATGTATGTATGTATGTATGTATGTATGTATGTATTTATTTGTTTGCAGGACCAGGGATTGAACTCAGACCCTTGCGCTTGCCAGGGAAGCGCTTATTCCACTGAGCCATCTCCCCCCCCCCCTTTTTTTAAAAATAGTTTTGAGTCCTCTTTCTGCCTTCAAAGTTGTTTTGCTCATCTGTCTTCTGCATTGCTTCCATATTCTTTGCTTTAGTCCCTGGTCTTCATCACTTAATTTTGTTCTATTAAAATTTTTAGTGGTTTTCTAAGATGCTTAGAAGAGTGTCCAAATTTAACATTGTACATCCTCCAAGGCCAATACTAGCCTACTGCAACTGATTGAACATCTTCTGAGTTGCTTTCTCTTGCTGGGCATTCAACCCAGGATCTTCACACTGAGCCACATCTTTTTTTTTTTTTTTTTTTTTTACTTCTTCAGAACTTTTTTATTCCAAGGGGCAGTCTTGCTAAATAATGTCTGAATTGCCCAGTCTGGGTTGAACTTAGAATTCTCTTGTCCCAGCCTATCAGAGTGC